TCTGCTGTGTGACCCCGGGCTAGTGAATTAACTGCTCTGTGCTTTGGCTCCCCACGTTGTAATTTAGGGCTAAGAATAATACCAATGTCCCGAAGTGGTTAATATGTTAAAATAGCTTAAAGGGTCAATCCATGACGTGGTAGTTAGGGCGGCTGGATGCCCCACGGCCAGCCACGCGATTCCTCAGACACGAGTCACTGAAAACATGCCGAGCACGTGTGCATGTGTGTCTAAACTCCCAAGGGGAAGGAGAGAGAGAGAGGAGATGGGATTCCTGCATGATCTTGCTTCATGGGGGGAGGGGGGTGCTTTCTCACCTTCCCGCCTCGGTCTCCGGTGAACACATACACCTTCTAGAGAATTTACAAATTACCTCTTTTTTCTTTTTTTGGAGAGGTTTTTGCTGTAGGGCGCATGCACTCGCCAGACAGACAGAGACAGAGAGACAGAAAGCGAGAAATCACCCCCCAGGGGGGATGGCCACACCACAATCCCTTCTCATCCCTTCTCCTCTCGGGATCTTGGGCACGCACGCACGCGCGCCCAGTGTGAGTTTAAGCCACCAGGTCCGGGACTCGAACCACAGTCGACCACGTGGGAGTCCAGCGACACAGCCATTATGCCAACTGCTGGTCCCTTTAATAGATTTTTAAAAATTATTTTATTTATCTTCAGTTTGGTTAGAGAGGGACAGAGTGAGAGAGATAAGGTGAGAAAGCCAGCTGCCAGGTCCAGGACTTGAACTACCGTCAGCCAGGTGCGAATCCAGTGCTCTTAATCACCATGCCATCTGCCGACCCCAAATAAACAAATCCTGAAAATAAACATCTGGTGTGGTCTCAGCTCCAGGAGAGACCGAGGCAGGAGGATGGTGACGCAGCGAGACCGTCTACAACAATGACAGGAGAAATGTAGGTTCAGACACTCAGAGAAGAGGCTGTACAGACAGACCCCAGCAGATGCTGTCCACCTGCCGGGGCTGAGGCCTCAGAAGGGTCAGCCCTGCAGACGCTTTGATGGCAGGTTTTATAGGACCGCACAATTAATTCTCTGTCCTGTCAGCCACCTTGTGTGAGTTTTGTTTGTTTTTTAATTTGACAAAAAGGTGCATGTTGCTTGTCAGAGAGAGGCAGAGAGGAAGGGAGAGGGACAGAGCAGCGTGCGTGGGGTGTGGCCACGCCGCAATCCTCCTCCTCCATTTCTCCATCCTGTTGGGATCTGCGGCATGCGTGAACACGTGCCTCATGTGTTGTTCAAGCTGCCGGACCCAGGATTTGAACTGTGGTTGGTCATCCGGGATCCGGCTTCTCTAACCACTAGAGTAGGAACAATCCTTCCTTTTTCTTTCTCTTCTCTTTTTTTAAAAGAGGTTTTTTGCCCTAGGGCAGGTGCACTGGCCAGAAAGTGAGAGAGACAGAGATACTGAGAGGGAAAGCGAGAAATCCCCACACACACACCCCGGGAGGATGGTCATGCTGCAATCCCTTCTCGGCCATTCTCCTCCTGTGATCTTGGGCACGCCTGCACACGTACCCGGCAAATTTGAAATGACCGGGTCCAGGACTTGAACTGTGGTCGACCATGTGGGAGTCCAGTGACATTTTTCTGTGTTCATGATAGAGTGTATGTGTGAGTGTGAGTGTGAGAGAGATGAGTGCCCCCCCACAGGGTCTGCTTACCCCGGGATCCTTTTCCTCCTGTCCTCTAGCCTGTCAGATCCCAGCCATTCCCCACCTGCCTGGCAACTTTCAGCTTGACTGGGCCGGGGATTCGAACCGTGGTTGCCCTGTGGGATTCGGCTTCTCCTGAGTGCTGCATTACCGCTGCCACCAAACCAGCCCTCGTGTCGTCTTCTCATAAGGACGTCAGTCCTATTCAATTAGAGCCACCCCAATGACCTCATTTTAATTTAATTCCCTCTTCATTTTTATCCATTTTTCATGATGGAGAGCATACGCACTTACAGACACACAGTGTCCCCAGAGAGTGACCCATCACGCTGCAATCCCCTCTCCCCAGCCCTCCAGCTCCTCAGGAACCCGGGTGTCCACCTATGTACCTGGAATATCTCGGGTCAGCCGGGCTGGGGCTCTGAACCAGGGTCAGCCATGTGGTTTCCAGCACTGCAGCCCAGTTTGCTACTGACTATGCCACAAGGTGAGGCCTTCATTACCTCTTTAAAGACCCCCATCTCTGAGCTAATTGGTGGCATGGTGGTTAGGGCATCTGTATCCCCCATAGCCAACTGCATGGTTCGAGTCCCCGGACCTAGGGGTGCCAGGTTCATATACATGCAAGGCCAAAAATCCAGACAGGAGGGAGATGGAGGCGAATGAACTGCGGCATGGCCATCCCATTGGGGGTGCCTTCTCACTTTCTGTGTTCCCCTCTCCCTCTCTCCAGTGAGCACTCCAGCCCTCTGGTAAATTAAAATAAATAAATAAACAACCCCCTCTCCCATTTTCAAATACGTTCTGAGGAGATGTGGTTAAGGCTTCGGTGTGTGAATTTTCGGAAGGATGCAATTCAGCCCACAAGTGTGTGAGTGTGGGGACCATCTGCCAGGAAGGGTCTGGAAAAACAGTTGGACAGAGCTAAAGAGGAGCAGAGAAACCCACTAGTGGGGCCAACCCATGACCTGGTGGTTAAGGTGGCTGGATCCCGCACAGCCAACTGTGAGGTTCAAGTCCTGCACCTGAGGGCTTTGGACACACACTGGAGGGACCAGCAGACAACATAATGGCTATGTCGCTGGACTCCCATGTAGTCGAGCATGGTTTGAGTCTCGAACCTGGTGACTTAAAACTCACGCCAGGCACGTGTGCGTGCGTGCCCAAGATCCCGAGAGGAGAATGGAGGAGAAGGGATTGCGGTGTGGCCATCCCCCCTTGGAGGGTGATTTCTCATTTTCTGTCTCTCTGTCTCTGTCTCTCCAGCGAGTGCATGCATCCCATAGCAAAAATCTCTCTAAAAAGAAAAAAGAAAGAAAGAAACACGCTGGGCACATGGATGTGCATGCCCCAAATTTCCACAGGAGAAATGGAGAAGGGATTGCAGCATAGCCATGCCCCGTGAGGGGTGCTGCTCACTTTCCCCCCTTCTTTCTCTCTCTGCAAGCGGACGTGCCCTCGAACAAATTAAAAAAAAAAAATCCGCCTATGAAGGGAAAGTGAGCAATGGAAGCTGTCCCGGCCCATCCTTTAGAGTATTGTAGGGCTTTGAAAGAAATGAATCTCAAAGACTAAAAACCGCTTCTGCGGTTGCGAGGCACGTCCTCTGCTCATAAGGGAGGGGACAGTGACAGCCACCTGGGTCACCCAAGCCCTTTGTTAGTGAGAATGTGCCACTTGAAGGGAAATCGATTCCCGCTAAGCATTGAACAGCTGCTTCCGGCCAAAGCTGCCGGAAGAGAGGCCCTTTGCCCCCTCTCCTCCAGGGCCAGGACGAGAACCAGCAGGAACCCAAGGCCGGTCTGCAGGTGGCGGGCTGCAGAAGGGCCTTCAATCAGCGTGCATTGTGGCCGCCGGCATTGTGGCCGCCGGCGCCTGCAGTCTGTCCCCATCGGAGGAGATTAGCATCACCTTCGCACTCGCCAAGAGACGGGCCCTGCATGTAATATGCATCATTATTGCCCGCCTAGCCGAGACGGCCGCGTCTGTGTGCCGGGCACGTCGTGGTGCCGCCCCCTAGCGGCGAGACCTTGGACAAGTACCTTGACCCTCCTGATGCCTCCGTTTGTCCATCCACCACCGCCCAGCTGGCCCTCAATAGGGGGCACTCTTTTTATTTTAAATACTTAGTAGTATTTTTAAAAAGAATGATTTATTTAACGTTATCTATCTATTTATTTTCATTTGACCAGAGAGGGACAGAGAGAGAGAAGGAAAGTGAGAAAGGAAGCTGCCAGGTCCGGGACCCAAACCGCGGTCGGCCATGTGGGAGTCCAGTGCCTCCAACCATCATGCCACCTGCCAGCTCCAATAATTATTATCATTTTTTTAAAGAGATTTTTGCAACAGGGTGCGTATGCTCACCAGAGACATAGAGAGAGACAGAGACAGAAAGCAAGAAATCACCCCCGAGGGGGATGACCACGCCACAATCCCTTCTCTTCCATTTTCCTCTCGGGATTTTAGGCGTGTGTACACACGCGCCTGGTGTGTTTTAAACCACTGGGTCTAGGACTTGAACCACCAGAGAGTAACCATTATGCCATCTGCTCATCCCTCTTTTTTTCCAAAAGAAAGATTCATTTATTTATTTGGAGAGGTTTTTTGCTATAGGGCACATGCACTCACCAGAAAGACAAAGAGAGACAGAAAGTAAGAAATCACCCCCCCCAGGGGGGATGGCCACGCCACAATCCCTTCTCCTCCATTCTCCTCCTGGGATCTTGGGCACGCATGCACATGTGCCTGGCGTGAGTTTAAGCCACCAAGTCCAGGTCTTGAACCCCAGTCGACTACATGGGAGTCCAGCAACATAGCCATTACGCTAACCACTGGTCCCGCCTGGCGTGGTTTTCAAGCTGCTGGGTCTTGGACTTGAGGAAGGCTTGGAGCACATGATCAGTTGAGAATTGGGGGTGGGGGTGGGGCTGAGGGGAACAGGACCCTGAAGGAAATAGGCTGAGCAAAGATGAAGACCTTAAGAGATGTCCAGGCTCGACCTGACCCAAAGAACTCTGGAGTCTAAACTGCTCTGCAGGGACCAGCAGGTGGGGTGGTGATTAAGGTGCTGGACTCCCACACACGGCTGACTGCGGTTCGAGTCCTAGACCTGGTGGTTTGCTTTCTCACTTTCCCTCCTCCTCTCTCTGTCTCTCTCTCTGATCAAACTGGAAAATAATAATAATGAAATGAAATGAAATAATCATTTAAAAGAAATAAAGACTTGTATTTATTTTCAAGGCATCCATCGTGAGACAAAGGGGTGCGCTTTTGTCGCCCTCCACCACGGGCTGCTCTTGCTCTTGGGGGTGCTGGGCAGCCCCTGAGCACCTCCACCCGCCAGCTGTTGGGGGTGCAGGCAGGCAGGCAGGCAGGAGAGCTGGGCAGGCCCCCAAGAGCGTCTTCTACACCCCCAGAGCTCCAGTGAGGAGGGTCACAGGGGTACCAGGCGTTTATGCCAATCACAGCGTGGAGGTCTGACACCAGAACCCGTTCTCGGCTCTCCTGGGATGAATATCGGGCCAGCTTGGCACTGGGGCTTCCCTGACATGGCTGAGAGCCTTCTGGATTCATTTACCGCCTGAGGCTCAGCCCTCCGCTTCCCAGACGTGCCTGGGAACAGTACAGGGAACCGAGAGAAGGAGAGGTTGACCCCCACCCCAACATCATCTGCCCCCACTCTGCAGATGGGGAAAGTGAGCCTCAGAGAGGTTAAATCACTCCCCTAAGGTGGAGGAGCCAGGACCAGCTGCTGACATCATGGTTAAGGTGGTTGGATCGCACACGGCTGAGTGTGTGGTTCAAGCCCCCAACTCGGAGGGTTGAAACCCATACCGTGCGTGTGTGTGTGCCCAATATCCTGAAAAGTGAATGGAGGAGAAGGGATTGCGGTGTGGCCATTCCCCCTGGGGGGGTGATTTCTCACCTTCTCTCTTTCCGTCTCTCTCTGTCTCTTTGGCGAGCACATGTGGCCTCAAAAAAACTCTGGAAAAAAAAAAACTAAACTAAAAATAATTTTAAAATATAAAGAGGGTATGAATGTATTAATGTGGATGTCCCTTCAAGCTCATAGTCACACCCAGACACTGAGCTCTGTCATTTCCACCTAAGCAGGCAATCCATCAGCCGACCCCGAGAGCAGCTGTCGCTACCCAACGGCCAAGTCCTTGCCCGCTCCCCCCAGGGACGTGCGGGGCCTCCCGCCTGCGCCAGGCCTGGCTCTGCTACATTTTCCTGCATAGAACCGGCTGCGCCCAGACCCCGTATCAAACTGATCTTGTTTCTTGTCTGGTGCTCCCATGCTATGTCAGCTCCCCAAGGGCAGGGAGGGATCTTATTTTTAAGAATTATTTATTACTGGGGCCGGCAGGTGGCGTGGTGGTTAAAGCACTGGACACTTCTAGATGGCCGACCACTGTTCAAGTCCCGGACCTGGTGGCTTGCTTTCTCACTCCCCCGCCCCCTCTCTGTCTGTCTCTGATCAAATTAAAATAAGTCACTCTTAAAAAAAGAATGATTTATTATTATTAATTTTTTTCTTTTTTCTTTTTAAGAGAGATATTTGCTGTAGGGCATGCATGAGCACTCACCAGAAAGAGACAGAGAGACAGAAAGCAAGAAATCACCACCCCCACCCCCCCATGGGGAATGGCCATGCCACAATCACTTCTCCTCCATTCTCCTCTTGGAAGTTTGGGCTCACACACATGCGTGCCCAGGGTGAGTTTAAGCCACCGGGTCTGGGATTCAAACCACTGTCAACCACATGGCAGTCCAGCGACACAACCACTACATCAACTGCTGGTCCCATTATTGTTATTTCTCAATTTGCTATAGAGCATGTGAACTCACCAGAGAGTAAGAGAGAGAAAAGGAAAGTGAGAAAGCAAGCCTCCAGGTCCAGGACTTGAACCGTGGTCAGCTATGTGGGAGCACCAGTGCCTCAACTACTGCCCCACCTGCTCTGCTCATCCTGTATGATCTTCCTTGTCACCTCCCAACCCACACTTCCCCCCACTTCCCCCCTCACTGGCTCTATCCCACCCACACTGTTCCCACAACATCCCAGCTATGCTTGCTTCTTTGTTTCTTTCATTGCTGGAGGGAGCAGGAACTGTCCAGAGCGAGACAAAAAAAGAGAGTGGGTGGGGGAAGCAACCCAATGGGGCGTGGTCACATCCCAATCCCTTCTCTTCTTATTCTCCACCCTGGAGTGTTTTTCTAGCCACAGCGGCCAGGATTTGAACCGCGGTCGGCCATGTGGGAGATTCTCTTAACCACTAGGCCACGGGGCCTGCCAAAAACTGCTTCTTTTCTGCTATAGGGCGCACGCTCGCCAGAAAGACAGAGAGAGACAGAAAGTGAGAAATCACCCCCCAGGGGGGATGGCCACACCACAATCCCTTCTCCTCCATTCTCCTCTTGGGATCTTAGGCACGCACGCACACGCGCCCGACGTGAATTTAAGCCACCGGGTCCGAGACTCAAACCGCGGTTGACTGCATGGGAGTCCAGCGATATAGCCATTACGCTAACTGCTGGTCCCCACAAACTGCTTCTTTATCAAGTTTTTGTACCCCCTGTTCCCTGTCTAGAATGTCCTTCCGATCTTTATTGACGTGTCACTGGTTTTCTTTTTATTCATTTTGCTTTAGGGTACAGGTGCTCTCCAGAGACAGAGACAGAGACAGAAGGAAAGTGAGAAGTCACTCCCCAAAGGGTTTTGGCCACACTGCAATCCCTTCTCCTCCTTTGTCTTCTCAGGATTTTGCCACACATGCACACGTGTCCAGCGTGTTCTCCAAGCTTCCAGGTCTGGGACTTGAACTGTGCAGTTGGCCATGTGGGATCCGGAGCCTTAACCACCACGCCACCTGACAGGGCTTCAAATGTCATTGTTTGAAGAAGCTTCCTCTGATCCCCCTGGTGAAAACTACACGTGTTCCAGAACCCCCTACCCTTCCCCACACCATCAGCTTCCATATACATGAAGCCATGGACGATTTCATGAAAAATAAAATTAAAGAGTTTATTTTGGTGCAAACACTGTGAAATCCACACGTGTGCCTTTTTCATAATAAAAACTCACAAACTTGTCAAATACCCCTGTATGACACCCCTTGTACATTAGTTTTTTAAAAATATTTTGCTGGGGCCGGCAGGTGGTGTAGTGGTTTAAGGTGCTGGATTCCCACATGGCCAACCACGGTTCAAGTCCCAGACCTGGTGGCTTGCTTTCTCACTTTCCTTCTCTCTCTTTCTCTGTCTCTCTCTGAGCAAACTGGAAAATAATTATAATAATAAATAAAATTAAAGAAAATCATTCTTAAAAAAATTTTTTTTTGCTATAGTGTGTATGCACTTGCTAGAGAGAGATAAAGAGAGAGAGACAGCAGGCCGGGGAGAGAGAGAGAGAGAAATCATGCCCTATGGGGGATGGCCACACCACAACCCCTTCTCCTCCATTCTCCTCTCGGGATCTTGGGCACGCACGCACATGCACCCAGCGTGAGTTTTAAGGTCCAGGACTCGAACCACAGTTGACTACGTGGGAGTCCAGCGACATAGCCATTACACTAACTGCTGGTCCCTGTTTGTCGTTTGCTTTTTCAGAGAGATTTTGGCTACAGGGTACATCCATTCGCCGTAATGACAGAGAGAGAGAGAAAGCAAGATATCACCCCGGCGGGGACGACCACTCTGCAATCCCTTCTCTTCTATTCTCCTCTCGGGATTTTGAGCACACACGCACACGCACCCAGCATGTTTCAAGCCTCTGGGTCTGGGATATGAACTCCCAACCGTGTGGGAATCCAGCGACATAACCATTATGCCATCTGCTAGTCCCAATAATTATAAAATAAAAACCAAAAACCCACAAGATCACTATATTACAGATCAGCCTCCATTGGTTGGTTTCAAAGATCTGCAGGTAGCATGATGGTTAAAGTGCTGGATTCCCACATGAGCGACTGTGGTTTGAGTCCCAGGTCAGCAGCTTGAAAAATCACAACAAATAAATAGATAAAGAAATAACTACATGCTTAAAGAAAAAATCTGCACACCCACTGTGTGAGGTATAGACCTGCAGTGTGCTTACACAGAGGAGGAAACTGAGACCCAGAGGAGGGAAGCTTCAGTGTCTGGATCCCGGGTCAGGGAGTGTCCAGGGTCATGGTCCTTTCTGTGACGTGTACGACTGTGTGCAGCTGTGTGTCCTATGTGTTGGTGTGAGTGCAATGTGAACAGAGGAGGCTGTCGGGGCACGTCCAGGCTGACTCTGCACAGTGGTGTGTGTGGGCCACAGGCACCCGGGCAGGTGTGAATACCTGTGCCTGTGCGTTGGGCCGGGTGCACCCGAGGATGGGAAACCGCACCCACAGGGAACTCTGCGTGTGTGTCCACGTATGCACGAGCGTAGGGCAGCTCTGCAGGTTCAGATAATATATATAGTGGGTGAGGGAAGAGCCCCATCAGCCACCGGCCTGTTATTTATAGACGATCCCGGTTCATAAATTCCAAATGTTTCTTTTTTTTTTTTTTTTATCTCCCTCACTGCCAGGCCCCTATAAATATTCATGAGTTTCCTGCCTTGGAATATTTGAGAGTGGGGAAGGAGGAGTGGGTGGCTAAGGGGGAAGGTGAGGGTCCCTGGTGGTACCGGGTGCTGGGAGATCATGCAGGTGGGGAAGACAGGAGCCTCTTTGAATTCGCCTTCTCCCCTCTGGGCTCCTCTTAACCACGTTGCAGCCGGCAGATGGGGAAGGTTCTCGGCCGACGCAGAGATCTACCAAGGCTTATTATTATTCTTCCCCAGTGTCTGTGGAAAAATACAGCCCACTCTGGGGGCAGAGGAGGTGTCTATGCTATTTTCTCAGCGCCAGCGCCAGCTCAGGCTGGGAAACTCATTATCCTGGGACCCCCAACTCAGGAGGGAGGAGACTCCCAGATGAGGCAAATGGGCACGAGAATATACTATGGGGAGGGCATGAAAGGCACCCTGCACTGTCCCTGAGTGGGGGGAGGGGTACTGGCAAGTCCACATCACAAGGACTGGCAAGAGCAAAGAGCATGCGTGGACATACATACACCAACGTGTAACTCTGCGAATGTGTCAGAGACTGTGGTAGTCCATAGAGCTATTCACAAATTTTCCAGTTCTTTCTCTGGGGTACCTGATAGAACTGTGCCCAACATGGTCATGTGACTTACATATGTTCAATGGACTTCCCCAGCTGAAAGTTTCTTTTTTTTCTAAATCAATGTATTCATTTATTTAATAACATCTTTTATTTAATTTTTAAAAGAATTATTTTTATTTAACTTTTTTTAACTTGTTCATCTATTTCAATTTGACCATAAAGGGACAGAATGAGTGAGAAAGAGAGAGAGAGAGAGAGAGTGAAAGCCGCCAGGTCCAGGACTCGAACTGTGGTTGGCCATGTGGGAGTCCAGCACCCTTAACCACCATGCCACCTGCTGGCTCCAAAATATTTTATCTAATTTTATTTATTATTATTATTTCAAAAATTTGACCAGAGAGGGGTCAGCAGGTGGCATGGTGGTTAAGGGCG